TTCCCAAGAACCGTTGTTGTATTTCTTGTTGTCCACAACCTCTCTTCCCTGACGCGTTCCCCCTTGCCGTCGGCTGGGGTCGGCGGATATACGTTGCTAGCTGCTGCACTGCTGCGGGTGCTCTTACTGCTACTGCTGCTGCTGGACTCACTGCTGCCGCTGCTACTGCCACGGCCGCTGCTCTGGCTGCTGCCTACTATATCAGAAATTCCTTTTCCCTTACATGCCCCTTGCGCAGCCGGGGTCGGTGGATAAATAAGGAAATGAAAATTAATACCAGTAGTACCGCACAAGGCGGTGGCGGAAGTTTCAAAAATAGGAAACCTATAGGAGAGGTTGGTTGTTGTGAATCAGGGATTGCAGAGCGAAGCCACTGATGGACTGAAATGTGCTTGATCACTCTCTTTCTCTCTCTTTCTCTGACTATCTACCTACCTACCTATCTATCTATCTATCTCTCTCTCTCTCTCTCTTTCATCTAATTACCTATCTATCTATCTTTCTACCTACCTATCTATCTATCTATCTTTCTTTCTATCTATCTATCTATCAATCATTCTATCTATCTATCTATCTATCTGTCTGTCTGTCTGTCTGTCTGTCTTTCTATCTTTCTATCTATCTATCTATCTATCTATCTATCTCCCTCTCTCTCCTTCATCTGTCTAGCTGTCTACCTGTCTATCTGTGGTGCAGTGTCATTGAGTGCAATGTAGTGTAGTGTAGTGTGGTGTAGTGGAGTGTAGTGGAATGTAGTGTAGTGTAGTGTAATGTAGTGTAGTGTAGTGTAATTTAGTGTAGTGTAATTTAGTGTAGTGGAGTGTAGTGGAGCGTAGTTGTATAGTTGTAGCTGTAGCTGTAGTTGTAGTTGTAGTGTAGTGGAGTGTAGTGTAGTGGAATGTAGTGTAGTGGAATGTAGTGAAGTGTAGTGGAAGGTAGTGTAGTGTAGTGTAATGTAGTGTACTGTAGTGTAGTGTAGTGGAGTGTAGTGCAGAGTAATGTAGTGAAGTGTAGTGTAAGTTAGTGTGGTGGAGTGTAGTGTAGTGGAGTGTAGTGTAATGTAGTGTAGTGTAGTGTAATTTAGTGTAGTGGAGTATAATTGTGTAGTTGTAGTGTAGTGGAGTGTAGTGCAGTGTAATGTAGTGAAGTGAGTGTAATTTAGTGTGGTAGAGTGTAGTGGAGTGTAGTGGAGTGTAGTGGAGTGTAGTGGAGTGTAGTGGAGTGTAGTGGAGTGTAGTGGAGTGTAGTGGAGTGTAGTTGAGTGTAGTGGAGTGTAGTTGTAGTTGTAGTGGAGTGTAGTGGAGTGTAGTTGTGTAGTTGTAGTGGAGTGTAGTGTAGTGTTATGTAGTGGAGTGGAGTGTAGTGTTATGTAGTGGAGTGGAGTGTAGTGTTATGTAATGAAGCGGAGCGAAGCGACATTTGAGCCTCTAAAAGTGGTCCGAACCCTGATGTATATTTTGACTTGGAAATGTATTTTGTATTATAACGGCGTGTACTTTTTCGACATTATAATTTTTAAAAACGGTCCGGACGTGAGATATTTTGTATATTTTGATTTGGAAATATACTTTACATTACAACGGCGTGTACTTTTTTGACATCTTAATTTCCAAAAGTGGTCCGAGAATGATGTATTTTGTATATTTTTACTTGGAAATATACTTCGCGCTACAACGGCGTCTCTGGCCAGCTGGGTCCGCACCCGCCGCTTTAGCAAGCCTACTTTTCGACCCTCCGGAGCCACAAATTATTGGAAAAAAACAGTATTTCGCGATTTTCCTACCTTTTCGCGTATTTGTATCTTCTATTTTCTTACTCTGTTTTTTCTAATTTTTGTTTTCTTTATACCTTTTCCCTGGTCTGTTTTTTATTTCTCTATATTGTCGGAAATTT